CCGGTGTGCTCGCTGTTGCCCGTATCGCCGTGGTTCGCTCCGCCGCTCGCCGCCGCCGCCCGCCGTCCATTCGCGGCCGGGTCGTCGTCTACCTCCCGCCGGCCTGCGTGGCAGCCACGTAGGCGCCACGTCGGCGCCAGCTCAGCCAGACCGGGTCGGGCCGACCCCGGTCGGTCCTTCCGCGTGCGCGCGATCCACCGCGAGCCGTGAGGCTGCGCGTGGGCCCGCCGCACCTGCGTCCACCGCGGACCGCGCGCATGCACCGCGTCCCTTCCCCGCCCGCGCGCGTGCACCGCGTGCTCCCTCCGCGCGGTGAGCCGAGCCGCTGACAAGCGGGTCCCACCCGGGACCGCGCGCGGTGAGCCCGGTCCACCGGTCCCCTCTCTCCTCCCCTCCCGCGCGCGCTCTGGGCCGCCTTTTGGGCCGGCCGGCCCATTAAGCTCGGCCGAACCGCCCCAAATCCCTTGGGCCGCACCCTAGCCGCCCGAGGAAAGTCTAAATTTCCTCCCTCCTTTCTTTTCTTTTTCTTTTCCAAAAAGGATTTAATTAAATCCTTTTCCTTTAGGCCAAAAATTCAATAATCTTAGAAATTCAATATCTTCCCAACCGTAAATCCGTTGACTCCGTTCAACTTCCAAAATTCCCCAAATCTCGAGATCTATCTAATGGCACGCTTAGAGGTCATTAATAGGGCTTTATTTTTCGCCGTTTGTTGAGTTGTCCCGTTTCGCGTGTAGTTCCGGAGCCCGAAGACCCGCAGTGCGAGGATTTCGAGGATCAAGCTCCAGGTCTCGAGCAAGGCAAGCCACCTTTGAACATCTTGAGCCTATATTTGAAATTTAATTATGTTGCTTGAAAAATATTATGCATTGATAGGATCGCACTTAATCTGTTGTCCCGTCTGCAAGGCAGATTGGCGGACCTACCTAATTTGTTGCATTTGATCCTTCCTTTGATAATTGTTATATCGTGTCCCCTTGTAACCACCCAGTTGCGCCTCGATATTCGTGCACTCTGTGCGAGTATCGACGGTCGCCTTCAAACTTAAAATCTGAAAAACAACTTGGGTAAAACTTGGGTTTTACAAAAGATTTGGAAAACCCGACACCTGGGTCGGTGCTTGCGAACAAAATGAATTTCTAAAACCGCGGACCGGGGAACGTACCGGGTGTACGGTTTTCCCGCTCCCGCACTTAAGGACCGATTCCTTGGAATTTCATCCGAACATAAGACAAGTACGACCACATGGGTGGAATGGGACACCCCTGGCTGAGTAACTAGCTTATCAGGGGAGCCATGATGCCGAGAGACATGTGGATTCGTCGGGGTGGTGTCGGAGAGGACCCCCCCTGGGCTTCCTGGCACAGTATGGTCTGGGACCTAACCTGTTGTTGGTCTAGGACCCCTCTCGTCGGCATATGGTAAGCCTGTGTCGGCTTTGGAAATGCCTTGTCATGAAAGCTTGGAGGTCTCCCGACGTGGCTGATCCCCACGGGCTGGGTGATCCGGGTTAGTAATGTCGTGTGGGTAAAGTGTACCCCCTCTGCAGAGGTTAACAAACTGTTCGAACAGCCGTGCCCACGGTCATGGGCGGATGTGAGGTGATTCCTAGCGTAGTTTGGTTTAACTACTGCTTGTGAAATTGCTGTGTGAAAAGGGGATTGGTGTTTGAAAAATCTGCAGCTGATGGGATCAGCTAGGCCCGGGTGGCCGTTTGAAAAGTTGTTGGCCCGGGTGGCCGTTGAAAAAGCTGTTGGCCGGGTGCCAACCTTGTTTAAATTCTAAAGACTGATACCTTGCACGTACTCCGACCGGACGGGACGCACTGTCTCAACCGTGTCGTTTGAGAAGCACTCACCTAGATGTTTTTAGAAACGAGTTCAAATAAAATCAATTACGAAAACAACAGCCTTTCCTTGAAGCCTGCATTAAACACTTATTTCCCCTGGCTTGCTGAGTACTCCCGTACTCACCCTTGCTCTATATAAATATCCCCCCCAGTTGCTGATGAAGATGAAGCGGATCCTGCTGATGAGGAGTTCTTCCAGGAGCAAGCCGGTTACGATGAGTTTTAGGGTTTCGGCCTAGTTCCCAAGTCGCGCCTGTGATGATTGGTCCAAGTCCTGGCTTCCGCTCTCCTTTTGTAATGCAGTTGTGAGCTCGGGATCTGTCCGCAGCCCAACATGACTGTACAACTATTCTATAATAAAGAGACCTCCGTTGCTGTGATATTCTGTCTCCCTGTGATACCAGCACTGTTTCCTGGGACTGGTATCGATTAACAGGTTAATTTGGAGCGTCACGGGCTAGTTCCGGTCGAGACTAGTTCGGGGCGTGACAAATTTCAACCAAACTTCTAATTTTAGCGTGAACTAAACACACCCTTAGTACAACAAACTTCATTTAATTTAATCCACTTTAATCACGACGCAAAATTTCAAAACTTCCCGCTACCGATGTACAACTCTAAAATTTTCTATATTTTAAAACATAGATAATATATTTTAGTACCATTTCTTTAAAAAAACCAGAGGGTTTTCTTTGATAAATGATAACTACACGTCTACACGCGCTTACTTTCTTTCCCCTTTTTCTACCCTATAATTCACCAACTACCACTTACATCCTTCATACTTCATTCATCAAATCTAACGCTCTGTATTCATCTACATCCGATCAAATGGTTTGGATTGCCGCCCTCTCTTCCGCGCATCTCTCACGTCGTAATCGCCACCCGCCTTGCGCATCACAAGAGGCGGCCCTCTGCGCACCTTGGACCCGCACGCTCCCCCTCCCCTAATCTCTCTCGCACACCAGACGCCGCCATCGTCACCTCGCATCGCCGCACACCAGACGTTGATGATGTCGTGACCCCTCCCGGCCGCCTGATCGGCTGATCTATTCTTCACCCCACTCCCTCAACGCCGCCATGTCTCAGGACATGAATCGCTGCCACTCCCCCCGCCCCGCGCCCGAGCCCTATCCCCAAACCTCAGCGTCCTCCACCCCCGCAGACCCCTCAACCTCCCACCCCAAACCCTAGAACCACTTACCCGCATTGTCAGCGACGAGCCAACGAACCGGCGAGGGAGGCCGGTGGCTTAGCCGGCGTAGCAGCGAGGAAATCCCCGGCTGGTCGAGCGCCCTGGCAGCGCAGCTTCGCGCGAGATCTTGTGCAGCCAGGCGAAGCCTTCGCATCGCGTGCCTGCAGCCATCCCCGGTAAGTTGCTGTTAATCATGATTTGTGTGAATTACTCGTTATACAATGCCACCTCAATTCCCTGTGACTTGTAATATCAGTAGAAATCATTTATTAACAGCATTTTTCTCTTTTAAATCATGCACCAACACCAGTATTGCTACTTTCTTTAGTAGCACTCAGTATGGTGAATTTGATTCACATTATTTTCAGCCAATATGTTTGGTTGAGTCAAGAAGTGAATTTTCAAGCTCTCTACTTACATGATAGGGAGTAATATATTCCACGTTATTGTACAGCCCATGTGTCAACTTATTGGAAGTTTTGGAAGTGAAGCAGGCACATGGTAACAGTAGCTTCGAGGTATTTTTCACATTCAACTTATGTACACGAATAATTCTAAAAGAAATTCAAGCGCACGTTCATTCAGTGTTGAGTCATTTCGTGCTGATTTTCCCCTTAGCAGATTGAGGATGCTATTTCCTATATTTAGGTTTGGCTACAAATACTGAAAAAATGATGTGATTTTCCATTGGATAAATTTGAATATCTGAGCTGCTGGGCTGAGCCGCTGCTCACCGTCACTGCTGAGTGTTTCTTCACAGTTTAGTTTACGTGTGGCTTTGTATGTATTAGGTGAAATAAATCACCTATAAGATCTGATCTTTGGAGGATAATATCTTATGTTGAAGATTATTATACTGAAATTCTGCGATTGCTTTGCACCTCTGTTCCCTAAAATATGTGATTCATTTGAATGCCATTAATTCCTAGCAGTATTTGTGCAACTGGCTGCATCGAAAATTATATTTTGTAAGATGTTTACATCTGAACCCCCTGTACATAAAACTTGCTATTTCTTTTAAACCCAATCAAAGATTCTCCTGATATGGAGGTACACCGTACATAAATATATTTTTTTCTATAGATCATTTTTCTAAAGGTGATTGATAGCGTGGCTGTTCTTGCTATATCAATTTATTGTTATCGGATAAAACACACAAAGCTGGAAAACTAGGGATGCACGTTCAAAGACTGGAAAGTAGCTGAGAATGTTGTTGGGTGATCCTCGCTTCTGCAGTTTTTTTTTTCTTCAGGTGTTAAGATCCTTTGGTTAATTTTGGTTTTGAAATGCAGCTCAAAAGATCAAGTCATTGTGGATTGCAGAATGAGAGGGTCACGTTTTGAAGTAACTGCAGTCAGCATGAAGCTATCTCTACTAGGATGGGAGAGGCTCTCTAGTCTTAGGCTGTGTTAGAGGGAGAGGAGATTGAGAAGATTGAAAAGATACGTAAAACGAGATGAGCCATTAGCGCATGACTAATTAAGTATTAACTATTTTAAACTTTAAAAATGGATTAATATAATTTTTTAAAGCAACTTTCATATAGAAATTTTTTATAAAAAAACGCACCGTTTAGTAGTTTAGGAAACGTGCACGCAGAAAACGAAACAAACAAACTCCCTTTTTCTCCAAACGAACACAGCCTTAATGGACACACACGCTTACTCATCTAAACGTAGCATCAGATGACGGATCCAGGGAATATAATTACTCGAACCAGGCAGGAAGCCCGACTCAACACAAGTGAGTGGGTGACGCGACGATGCTAGCCCGATGCGCGTAGCGCCGTAGCGCGACCGTCCAAAAGGCTCGTGCTATCGTGCCGGTTGGTTGGTGCTTTGGCCCCTGTCTCTCCTTTCGCTTTCCCACGCCCCCCAAAAAAAAAACAAAGAAAGAGAAAAGAAGAAGCTACAGAAAAAAAAAAAAAAAAAAAAACTAGCAGCAGCTGCAGCTTAGCTTTAATCGAGTCCACCCCCGCATCGATCAATCAGTGAGCAGCGACAGGAGTAGCACGACGGCGAGCTCGCACACGCATCCCGACGCCGCCGCGAGGCCGCGGCCGCCGCCGGCGACGATGGATCTCCCGCCGCTCTCCCACCAGGCGCTCTTCGCCGCCGTCCGATCCGCGGACGCCGCCGCCGTCGCCGGCCTCCTGGCCGACGCCGGGGCGTCCGGGCCCACCACCCAGGCGCTCGCCGCCGCGCAGACGGACGCCGGGGAGACGGCGCTGTACGTCGCGGCGGAGGCCGGCTCCGAGGAGATCGTCCGCCTCCTCATCCCGCTCTACGACCTCGAGGCCGCCACCGTCCGCTCCCGCCTCGACCTCGACGCCTTCCACGTCGCCGCCAAGCAAGGCCACACCGGTGAGCGCGCGCTCTCTCTCTGCCTGCTCCCCGTATGATTCGAGCTGTCTTGCAATTGATTGGGAGGCGGAAAGCTTTCCTGCGATTACCTGATGTTTTGAGCTCGGTAGTACTAATTCTAGCTGAGCGTGGCAGTTCGTGGTGTATTAAGCTGGAAAATCGGGATCCTCTGTTAATTGATTTGATCTAGATAGTTTAGTTGTTTGATGATCTGAACATCACTCCGATTGATTGGCTATGTGTATGACACTAAGCTTATGATAGAGGAGCTCTCAAAATTTGTGGTTGTGGGAGTGTTGACATAGTGGTTATTTGTTCTCATATTAATTACAGAGAGATTGATATGTGGATAGCCACAGTTCATATGGAACTCTGTTTGTCATGTTCATCTTTTTTTTGCTCGAAAAGTTACTGTTGAACAAATGCATAATACATAACTGCAAAATGCTGACAGGGGCTGTGAAGGAGTTCTTGGGGCGGTGGCCGGAGCTATGTTCAATCTGTGACTCTTCCAATACTAGCCCTCTTTACTCTGCAGCAGTAAAAGATCACTTGGATGTAGTTAACGCCATACTGGACACTGATGACAGCTGCATAAGGATTGTGCGGAAAAATGGGAAGACATCACTACACACTGCTGCAAGAATCGGTTACCATCGTATTGTCAAAGCACTTATAGAAAGGGATCCGGGGATTGTTCCAATCAGAGATAGGAAGGGACAGACTGCACTTCACATGGCTGTAAAAGGTAAAAATACAGATGTAGTTGAAGAGTTACTGATGGCTGATGTTTCCATACTCAATGTGCGTGACAAGAAGGCAAATACAGCTTTGCACATAGCTACACGAAAATGGAGGCCCCAGGTATAATTCTTTGCTAAAACCATGCACTGTTAGTCTGTTACCTTGTCTGTTCGTTTGATGTATACCATGCCTGGAGAATGTATAGCAGTGTCGTTTCTTTCATGCGTTCTCAAATTTTCAGCGTATTAGTTGATTTATTTATACCATATGTGTCCTTGCTTTTCAATAGCTTTGCCCCTTAGTTGATGCTTCGTTACTGGAACACAACTAACTTACTCCGTATTAAGATCACAATATCCTCCTAGTTACAGCTCATTCAGTGATTGCATTATCACCAAAACTTCAGAAGTTCCATCTATTCATGAATATTTGGCTTTGTGGTCTAGCTGGTTTATGCACTAAATAATTGTTCGTAGACATTTGGATTCAGACTGGTGGACCATTAGGATGATATTAGTACAAGATCAGCAATGAGGTAACAACAGAGTGTTTAGTATGTTGGAGGATATCACATTACTATGTGTCCATTAAGACAGCAAAGACTAAAGTGTTTTTTAGAGTTGTTGATCTGAAGCTTAGTTTGCATCTTAAGTGCACTTTTTTCTTGTGGACTCATGGAAATGTGGTGCTTATATCCCAGCATTTTTCTTGTCTCAATCATGTACCAACATTTTTTATATATATGTTCCCTTTTTTTCCTCCAGATGGTACAACTTCTGCTTAGCTACGAGGCGCTTGAAGTCAATGCTATCAATAATCAGAATGAAACAGCTATGGATTTGGCTGAGAAAGTTCCTTATGGTGAGTCTAAAATGGAAATAATTGAGTGGCTGACAGAAGCTGGCGCAAAGAATGCACGGAATGTGGGGAAAATTGATGAGGCATCAGAGCTTAGGAGAACCGTGAGTGATATCAAGCACAATGTTCAAGCACAGCTCAATGAGAATGCCAAGACAAATAAAAGAGTGACAGGAATAGCCAAAGAGCTCCGGAAACTACACAGAGAAGCTGTTCAGAACACCATCAATTCAGTTACTATGGTAGCAACCCTGATTGCCTCCATCGCATTCGTAGCCATATTCAATTTGCCAGGCCAGTACTATGTTGATAGGGATAGTGGGGGAGACATTGGTGAAGCCCACATAGCCAACCTTACTGGTTTCCGAGTTTTTTGTCTGCTGAATGCTACCGCCCTTTTCATTTCCCTTGCAGTGGTCGTAGTTCAGATCACCTTGGTTGCCTGGGAAACCGGTGCTCAAAAGCGGGTTATCAAGATTGTAAATAAGCTGATGTGGTCAGCATGCCTTAGTACATGTGCGGCTTTTATCTCATTGGCCTATGTGGTAGTTGGCCCCCAGAATGCCTGGATGGCTTTCACCATATCAGCCATCGGAGGGCCAATCATGATTGGTACTCTCTTGTTCCTGGCCTATCTGTTGTTGCGCCCTCGCTTCAAGTTTGGTGAAGATAGACAGCGGCGCATCAAAAGGGCAAGTGGCAGCAAGTCCTTCTCCTGGTCTATCCATGAGGGGATATCAGACCTGGAAGCATTCTCTGATCATGAGAAGAGAATTTATGCCCTGTAGATTGTAAAAGGTCTTGCTTTAGCTGCATGTAACACTTAAGAACATGTAATTGGATGAAAACAATCATCCCTGTATATAGTTGCTCAGCTGTTTTAGGTCTGTGGTGAGGTGGCCCAAGCAGACCTTTTTCTGCACCATCTTGATGGTTTGTGTACTTGGATACTTGGTACCTGCTAATGTGTACTAGTATTAGCACTTAACAATGAAGAGCACCTATGCAGTTTGAAGCTATGGTTACAATTCCATCCATCTATTGAGGATCACATGTGCTGGAAATCTTTGACCCCCCCCCCCCCCCCCAAATGAATCCTTCCCAACTGAAGTGAAACTTTGTTGTTGTTACTCTAGAAAAAAACAGAGGTTGTTTTCAAGTAATTATTACTCTCCTGTTTTAATGTATAATAGTACCAGTGATTTTTCACCTCAAACTCTGACCAATAATATTTCTTCAATTACTTATTCAAGTAAAGTGAAAAGAGTATTAACTAGATTTGGCATCAAAAGTATTTTAAATGTTCCTTATATTTTTGTCCATTTGCACAAATATCCTAAAAGAAATGAATAGTCACATAAACTTAAAAATCGACGGTGTCATATTTAAAATCAAAGGTAGTATATCGGAACTGAACTTCATCACTCCCATGAATTTCTTGCAAAAACATCGCTATTCCAAACAGTTCTAACTTCGTACTCTCTTTGTTACAAAATATTAGCAACCTAACTGGACACAACCTACTATTTTGAATCTAGATAAGGATAAGGTTATGTTCAATCTAATACTAGTGTGCTATATATTTTAAAATGGAGGGGTGTGTTTTATTTATCTTATTTATTTCATCTCGGTAATAATGTGATTTGCTACAGCGGGCAAAATTTTCATTCCAAAGGCAGTAGATTTGGTCATTTGGCCACTAGCACTCGGTGAAATGAGAGCTCCTTTTGAGCGGCTTCCGAGCCGGCCACCAAACGGATGGATTCTTGCCGCCTCCTGCACCCTTATCCACAGCCGCTCCCTCTCCCTCCCCCTCCCCCTCCCCCGACCTCTACTCCTCGACCTACCCACCTCCAATGGGGTGTCCTCCGCCGCCGCCGCCGCCGCCACCACTTCCTCCGGTGCGTCGCCGCCTCCGCTGCCACCCTGCAGAAGGAACTCACGGTGCCGCGCACCCCAACAGCCGCGCAGAGCCCCGGTCCAGTGAACCCGCCTACGCTGTTCGACAGAATGCCCGAGAGGAGCGTCGCGACGGTTTCCGCTGCGGATAACCTGCTCGACGAAATGTCTCGGACGTGCGGCGCGGGCCAGCGTGGTCGGCCTCTGGAGGCGCCTCCTCGGGACGGCGGCGGGAAGAGCGCGAGCGCCGCGATCGTGGCGCTGGCGCATGCCGGCCGGCACGCGGAGGTCGTCGAGCTCTTCTGCCGGATGCGGAGGGGCGGCGTCCCCGTAAGCAGGTTCGTGCTCCCGAGCGTGCTCGCGGCTTGCGCCGGCCTGCGGGACATCGGGATGCTCCGAGCCGTGCACGCCTTGGTCATCAAGTGCGGCCTGTGCCAGCATGTCATCGTGGGCACTGCATTGGTTGACGGGTATACTGATTTTGGATTGGTGGATGATGCGAGGAAGGCGTTCGATGAGATAACAGACGCCAATATAGTTTCTTGGAGTGTGCTCATTGGTGGCTATGCCCGTTCTTCTCGGTGGGAAGAAACATTGGATGCTTTCTCCGCAATGCGGCGTGCTGGGGTGCTTCCAAATGATTCTGTTCTTGTAATGGCGATTCAGGCGTGCGGTGCATTGGGACGCCTGGTACATGGGAAGCAGCTGCATGGCTTAGCAGTTGTCCTTGGATTTGATAGGAATGCTACTGTTTGGAACTGCCTGATGGACATGTATGGGAAGTGTGGTGACATTGACAGTTGCAAGATGGTTTTTGAGACGATGATCGGCAGGGATCAAGTGAGTTGGAACACGCTAATCTCAAGTTATGCCCGTGTTGGTCTTTGTGAAGAGGCACTCGACATGATTGTGCAGATGCAAGAGTCTGGTTACATTGTCGATCGCTTCACCCTTGGCAGCGGAGTTACAGCTTGTGCCCGTTTGGCTGATATAGATAGCGGCCGTGCATTCCATGGTTATTTGGTTAGAAGATTGTTGGATACTGATGTCATCCAGGGCAGCGCGCTTGTTGACATGTATGGTAAATGCCACAACATGGAACTTGCACACATTGTATTCGACAGGATGGATGAGAGGAATTATGTATCATGGGATGCACTCTTGTCTGGGTATGTTGAGAATGAGCAGGTTGATTTAGCACTTGAGATTTTCCGGCAAATGGGTTGTGCAAACATAAAGTATAACCAGCATAATTTTGCTAACCTTCTTAAGCTCTGTGGCAGTCAGAGGTATAAAGAGTATGGAAGGCAAATTCACGGGCATGCCATTAAGACCATAAACAAGATGAATGTGGTTTTGGAAACGGAGCTTATTGACATGTACGCAAAGTGTGGCTGCATTGAGGTCGCTCGGCTACTATTTCTTCGGATGAATGAGAGAAACCTTATTTCCTGGAATGCCCTACTTTCAGGTTATGCAGCAGATGGACAGCCAGTTGCAACGATAAATATTTACCGCCAAATGGAGCTGGCATGCATTAGGCCTGACAAATACACTTTGGCAGGGCTTTTAAGCCTTTGCCGGTACCAAGGACTATTGCATTATGGAAGGCAGATACACGCTCATCTCATCAAGATGGGTTCTGAAATGAACGTGGTAATGCAAACTATACTTGTTCATATGTATATCAAGTGCATGCGTCAGCAGGATGCTGAAAATGTTTGTATAATGATCGAAGAAAGGAATTCATATGTGCTTGATGCATTTTCAAAGGTCTATGGAGATGACTACTTGATCTGAAGAAAAGAAAATATCTCATTTTACACTGGAGTTAGAATGTATGGGAATACTTTTGTCTTCCTTGTGGATACAAATCTTAGATGCAAAATTTGTATTTCCTGTATACTAAGGACTATAGTAGTTTTTCGTCACTAACTTGGATTCTAGTTCTGTGATTGTTCAAGGAAAAGGAAGTGCCTCATATCCTAAAAAGAGGGTAATAGTAGAGAAGAGTTGTTGTCAAGTCAAATAGAGTATACATTCTCTGCCTTCAGTCTGGTTTGATGATATGTTTATGCATGTGGACCTGTACTGTATATGTTCTATTGAACAGCTGATTGATAGCTGTATACAAGGTTCATTTTTTCATGAAATCAAGATTGTGGACTGCCTTTTTTCAGCCGTAGCATTACATTTGTCCGTGAATCGCAAGGGTTTCAAAGATCAAATTTTAGCTACTACTACTAGATTCCAACAGTCATATGATCATAAGGGAAAGTAGGCAGGTTCATTCTGGAAGACAGTGGGTTTTAGTTTCTGTAGAATGATGTAGTGCAAACCACTGCTTTAACCGGCCTGTAAGAGTTTAATCCCACATGAATGAAAAGAAAAATGCGCAAGGATTGCGTGAATTGAGCATGTTATTCCCTTTCCTTCCGATACATTACTCATTCAAAACCCTTACAATTAATAGGTGGCAGGCTTGTCTTGAAATTTGAATTCTGCATCATTCCAGAGAAACACATTTGAATATTTGATGATAGCCATTGTAGTAAAACTACCACTTACATACCCATAAGTCATGGAAAATTCCAAGCAAGAGTCTTAGCTGTGACAATATTTATGATTTATTTCCACGACGATTCATGTCAAAAACACACCAGCTAAAATGTGATTTAAACAAAGTTTTAGGCTGGTAGCCTCTACAATCTGTAAATTTAGAGATCCAAAACCCCTCAGACCATTCAAATAAACTGCGTGGATATCCATCTATAATGCTTCTATTCAAATAGAAATTCACCAGCTTCCACCAGACAATGTTGTAAAGTCTGACGAGTTCATAACCAGGACTTTTCATCAATTTCAAACCCCATTATGTACAAAAGGAAAAAAAGACAGCACAACTTGAGAAGATCTTTACAACTGATATTAGCACGGTATAGTGAGTTTACTCATGTACAGGCCGTCACCACATCCTAAACAGGAAGGCACACGACCAATTCTCACTTAGAAGGGGGGAAAAACTCTTATCATCAGCTTACAAACAGATCGGAATCACAAAGCATCACTTGCTGCTTTCTCTACAAGTGGTCAAGTAGGATCTCCAATCATACAGCCTTTGAGTATGGAAATTGTGTCAGTGTAAGTTGGTCATGCACTTTCACTGCCTTTAAGAATGTTGTACTTGCAAAGTGGACAGGTTGCATGCATGCGTAGCCATTTGGTAATACATGTCCAATGGAAGTGATGGTTGCAAGGGAGGGCAGATAGCTCCGCTCCATCCTCATATGATGAGAGGCAGATACAGCATTCCTGACAGAACAAAGAGCGAAAGAAGCTATAAGCGTAGAATGGGATATCCAACTCACAATAATAGGTTGTCTGCAACCTTTGCACTGACATGTTCAGATTCATTTCTGGATTAATGGGCAAAGCAATTCAAGCAACCAATGACATCTCTAAGGAACTTATCTGCGCTATGGAGGGCCAATGCCAAGAAATCTCTGATCATTTTTATCAATACTCTAATGAACAATTTCATGTGGAAACAATAAGGTCCAACTGCAGAATGTTGTAAGAAAAAGAGCAAAGTTCTTACAGCATCCTCATGAAGGAGAATACGTTCACTGGTTGATGTTCCGCTATTATTCAGAACAGGGATCATAACTCCCTCGTCAGTTCCTTTTTGTCCATCCTCACTGGGATCAGAATATCTATATCTGGGAAGAAAGCCAATATCCGCATCTGATGCACCCTCCTACATATTTCGAAGAGAACGAAGTAAGCAATATGTATCAACAATGTTGGTAGTACCAAGGTAGAGAAGAAGAAAATTTCTCAAATGCAGAGTTCTTCTTATTTACCTGGCCAGCCAGTGCATATAGAATTGCAATGACACAAGGCAAGCAGCAGCACAATGCGATCCCGATGAAGCAGGCCATAGCAACGCAAAACACAGCGAAGAAGACATCAAATGCTAGAAAAACAACACTTAGCCTGCACAAAATATTCCAAAGCAGGTAACTATGTCAGGCATAACAGACAGAATAGCTCTAATTAATTAGTAGTGGAGACATATAAATCAATCGCATGCAATATTTTGATAGAAAAATTAGCAGCTTCATGTCATTACCTAGACAATACACATCACAATTCACAACTAATGATTTTTAAAATTGCTTATGTAAACAAGTGTGACACCTTAATCAAATAGGTGCCTTAGTGCACTTGTTCAAGTAGAGGCCTGTCCCCAACCCCCAAGAACACAGGATTTACTGTAATTCGGATGTTGCAATTTCCAATCATGGCATTATTACACTGACCATGGCACCAGTATGAAAATCAATTTACATGTGAACATTTGATTGTACGATCATAAAGTAGTCAGTGATGGGTACAGGTTTAGGGCCACAATACCAATACAGCCTTGGAGCATCTTGCTCGAGCACATCCCCGCCAGACACCACCCAGTAGAACCCAATTATCCACCACAGAAATGACACCATCGTGTTTATCGACTCACAACGCTTCGCAAAACTGCATGAGTAGCCCAAATCATCAGACGTGGTTGAGTTAGTTGGTGAGTCAACACTCACTACACGGGCATAAATTCGTAGCACGAACCCTAATCCCAAGTTCCACCACACGGCGAAACCGGAATTCGGGGTTTCACCCTCTTGCGTTACCTGCTCCTCTGCTCCCTACCCTCGTCGTCGTCGTCGTCGCTGTCCGAGCTGTCGGTCCCAGCGCCCGCGGCGTCACCGTCGGCGGACTCGACGTCGGAGCTCCGAGCATGGGCCGGGCGGCGGCGGGAGTCGGAGCAGACGAGGCCGACGTGCACGAGGCACTGGAGGGCGTACCCGACAAGCCACAGGCGGAGCGGCGTGACGGGGCTCTCCTCCGTGGAGGCGACGAGCACGGCCGCGGCGGCGGCGGCGAAGGCGACGTTCCACGCGATGTCGAGCGCGACGACGGGGCGGGAGTGGGCCCAGTCCGCGCGCCGCCTCTCCAGCTGCATCGCCGCCGTCTCCCGCACCAGCATCGACGGCCCGCGCCGCCCCGCCGCGCGCCCGATGAGCGCCGCGAGCCGGCTCGGCCTCGCCGCGGGCGGCGGCGGCGACGACGACAGGTTCCCGGACCCCGACCCGGCGCGTGCGGCCGACGGCCGCAGCAGCGGCTGCTCCGGCGACGGCGACGAGGCGGCGGCCGCCTCCATCTCGGGAGATGTGGGGGGAGCTTCCGTGCGCGTCCTTCCGTTGTCTTCGCTCTGCTGCTTTCCCGACTCCACCACACAGGCCTCTCGGACTCTCTCTCTCTCTCTCTCTCTCTCTCTCCGCTCCCTTCATTTTGGGCCAGGCCGTTCTGATTTTCAATTTGGGCTGGGCCGATCCACCGTGTTGCACGTAAATAGCCCATGTCCGAAGTTTTGTAGATTAATCCACAAATATCATAATCTTTTTGCCAAACACCACGCAAATTTCTCCATATTAGTCCACATTTCATGCAGATTAATCCAAATTAAGAAATAACCTTGCTTCAAGCACACGCCTCATTCAGAAAAAAATGTTTATAGATCAATATCAAGCCGGCACGACAATATTTTCACATCCATATATATTTACATGGGTGATGGGTCAATGGAAAAGGATCCTAACAAAAAACGCGAAACGAATGTACATGAAATTATAGATTAACGGTGCCATTAGCAAGTCCAGTACTAACCACTCAGATTTCAGAAGATTTGACTGCCAAATGAGAGAGAGCTGTATAGACCTACATCCACGACCAAACCTATGCAGTAATCCACGCTTGAACACCTCGAGACTCTACACCTTCTCCACCTCCCGGAAGCTTCCTCGCCCTCGCCGCGCGCGGCCGCCGCTGACCACGGCGGCGGTGTCGCCGCATACCGAGACGGCGTGCCTCCCCAGGAGCTCGGTCAGGAAGCCGCCCTTGTCGGTCGCCGGCCTCGTGTATGAACCGGCCGCCGCCTTCGTCGTCGTCCCCTTCCGTCGACGGCGCCCATCACCACCCGCTCGTCCGCCACCGCCGCCGCCGCGGCACCCACTCTCCCTCACGAGCAGCCTCTCCAGTTCCCGCGTGATCCACTCCACCTCGTACACGTCCAGCAGCGTCGTCCCCTTCCCCGGCGACCGCGCCGGTAGTGGCGGCTGCGCTCCCACGGTTGCCTCCTCCTCCTCCTCCGCCACCACCGCCGCCTTCGCCGGTGGATCCATGGAGATGGTAGAGCCTGAGTGCCGGAGGCGAGAGTGTGAGATGGGAGGAGAGCCGAGGAGGCGAGTCAAGTACTCAAAATCGGGTCGAGGTGGGATATGGTGCAGAGGCTGTCAGTGTGTGGGCGGCTGGGCGCAGCAACATTTATGCCGCGCGAGTTGGTGCACTTGGTGGTATCACGCGTGGTCAACCCTACTATTGGTTCCCGCGGGTGAGCCGTGCCTATACCTGGCCAAACGGGCGGCCCGGCCCAGCACGGCACGGGCACGCCGGCGGCACGGCCCGCTAGGGCACGGCCCGTTAGGCACGACTCCTGTAGCGGGCCGTGCCGTGCCGGCCCACGTGCCTACTCCCCGGCCCAAGCACGGCCCGAGGGAACGTCGTGCCGTGCCGTGCCGGCACGGGCACGTCAATGGCCCATGGGTCGTGGTCGGCCCGTTGGCACGATCGACTGCAGGCAAGCTGGCAAGGCGACAACGCCGACAAGGCGCGCGCGCGGATGAAAATTTGGACGCGGCACCCGGGAGCGAGCGGCCGGGGCCGCGGGACCGGCCGGCCGAAGGGCGACACGTGGCGCTGGACTTGCTGAATGCTGACTCAGTGACTTGCCTCTGTCCGTGTGTCTATCGCATGTCACTCTGTCAGTGGAACAATTCAAATCAAAGAGAAAGGTCCGAAAGTTAACTAAGCTAAGAGAAAATTAATGGATAGTTGGAGAAAAATAGAAAAATAATTAGACTTAGAAAAATATTAGAAAAATATGGGGAAAAAAGAGTAATGACCTTTATTAATGTTTACATGATACATGCTGCCTCGTTAAAAACTTTGTCATGTAAAAACTCATATTTGAGAAAACCATGACAAAGAAAAGAATACAGCCAACAGGTCAATACTTAAAAAATATAAACTAGCTACCCTAATTGTTCGTCATCTAAATAAAGGTTT